CTTATTCATCGAGATTTACATAGTGGCAATATTTTACAAAATAATTTACATAGTGCATACATTGCTGATTTAGGACTTTCAACGTCTATAGCGTTAAATGCAGAAAAACGTGGAGTTTATGGGATTTTGCCATATATTGCACCAGAAATTTTGAATAGAGGACAATATTCGACAACATCAGATATTTATTCATTTGGCATTATCATGTGGGAAATTTTATATGGAAGATCAGTATCTTATAATCAGGAGTTTGGATCACAGCTTCAATTTGAAATATGCAGTAGAGATTTGAGACCAACAATTGTTAACAATACTCCACAATGTTATATAAGTCTAATGAAGAAATGTTGGAATAAAGAATCAATAAATCGCCCATCAGCAACAGAAATTTGTAAAATCATTACAGACTGGCAAGATGATGGAAAAATTTTATTAGAATTTACTAAGTCAGAAGAAATAGTGAAAGATATACAGCGTACACAAATGCAAACATATTCTGCGGACATTTATAAAAGCAAATTTATTAATTATACTGCACCATTTTATCAAGGTAATTAATTATATTTGATTAAGAATAGTATTATATTAATAAAAAACCTATGAGTAAAGATATGATCATAAAAACTGATAAAAATTTTTATTTGAATTCTACAAATTTGTAGAATTCAAACAACCGAATTTTATCGAATTTGTTGTGTTGTTTAAATATTGGGAAATGCTCAAAGAATTTTAAAACTTTGAGAAATTTTTTATTAAATTTGATAGGTCGTTGTTAAAATATCTTTGCTTAAATGTTTTTTTATATTAATGGAGAGCAAGTGCAAATGCAATTGTTTTAAGAATAGTGCTGTAATGAATTGGATAAGTTGAAATTGATGAATGATGTAGAAATAATTAATATAATTTATACTATTTTTTTAACAGATAGTGAATTGAATGAGTTGAAAATTCAAGATTAATACATGAAAGATGATCTGATCTGTTTTAAAGATGTCTGAAAAGAAGAAACAAAGTTCTAAAGACATGTAACGTATATGAATTGTGAATCGCATCTGCATTGATTATTACTTGGTTAAAAAAAATTCATTCACTTAATAGTACATGGATTGTAATGATCACATAGAATGAGAAAAGAAGTATGTATAAATTATTTATCAGTTATCAACAAAAAACAATGGACATAAATTATTAACAAACCAGTAATTTATATATACTTCATATAAGAGGAATGGTTCTGTATTCATTTTTAGAAGTAGAAAATGAAATCTGTTTACAATTTAGCGCAGTCATTTCTCAAACATTTCCTTCTTTGTCAAGGATTCGCATTTTCACCAGAGTTTCGTTATTCAAGTTAGTTTCGTCTTTGCCATTACACGAAATAATTTTATCTAAAACCATAGGCTCGATCAGATTGTACGCCTAAATTATCGAATATTTGTTATTGGAATATTGATTTCGCTCGTAGTAATGCATATCGACATGAAAAAAAGTTTTTAATTAGTGAAGGTGTATGAATTTAAATAAATAGTTAAACCTTAAAAAAAAATCACGAAACAAACTAGCAAGGTACAGTATAATATAAATCCTTGCAATTGTGGCGTGAAAATCGAACCATAATGCAAAGTTAGTGTTAGTTTTTAATATAGGTGCAGAAACTTGGGGACGTATAGTTACGTCAAAAAGATGAACGGTTATGTCAAAAGTATCGTAGCTGCGTGTATCGTAATAGCTGACATTTGTCGCAAATAAGTTTTTGGTCATAACTCTGATAATGGACGTGATGCAGGATTAGTGATGCCATAGAATCGTCCCAATAATTGCCGCAACTTACTATATTGCTTACTATCTTTATGGCAAGTTACAGCAATCATTGGGGATGAGATATTCGTGATTTAAGTTTGATATATGTAATTTAGCTATGATAGCGGAATAAATTATAAAAAAAAGATTTAAATTTGTTATTTTTTTTTCTTAAAAAAAAACACTCAACAAATTGAATGTCGTAAATAAATTGCCAATATGTCTTTAATTGACAAGTGGATTCTAGTATTTCTATGACAGAATCAGAAACTAGTAATGATCATCCTCAAAAAAGGAATAAACAAGGTGGGCCTGTTTTTAATGAAGTGTGGGACTATGTTATCAAGCATGAAAAAGTAAATCCAGGACACTACAAAGCAGAATGTTGTCATTGTAAAAAATTATAGCAAAGAGGTAAACCTTGCGCCTTAAGGTCTCATCTTGTACTTCATTGCAATAAGGTTCCTAAAGATATCTGTCAATATTGGCGCAATAAGCTTATAGATGTTGATAATGCTTATAAGAGAAATTCTCAATTACAATTAGCCTTATCATCACAAGTTAGTGATAAAATTCTTTTAAGAGCTTGGATAATGACTAACAACCCATTTGAAGTAATTGAAAATCCTTATATTAAAGATCTTTTTAAAAGACTTAATCCTGTGTATATGTTGTCATTTTATACAACTCTATCTGGATGATTATTTTATGAGAAAATTGCACATATACAGAATAATATTAATATTGATTTAGAAAATATGGAACACTTAACTTTAAGTATACATAATATTTATATTTGAAAAAAAATTTTTAAATTTTTATATATTTATTTTGTTATTTCAAATTAGCTTTTGATAGATGAACATTAAAATGTGAAGAATCATTATACAAATATATAGCAACAACAATGGATTAATAAGAATATTTTATTTCTTCATATAATTATTTATCAGAATTATATACTTGTAATTTTATTGTTTTTGAAATTTTAAACATAATCAAACAAATTGGGCCTCAAAAGTTTTCTGTTATTGTTATGCATTTAGTAATAAATTTTAAATCAGTTAGAAAAAAAATTTATATCAAGTGTCTACACATTTTAAATCTGAAGTATATCACTTATGCTATTAATCTAATAGCAATTGATTTGTTAAAAGTTTATAAAATTAAGATATTTATTAATTAATATAGAAAAATAGTAAAACATTTTACAATATTATCTCAAAAATTAGTATTATTATGTCAAGAATTGTTAAATATAAAGATACATTTTAAAGGCTTAGAATAATGGTGTCAAACATGTTAAAAATCACTTTATAATATTACAAATTCTATATTATTAACATAACCTGTTTTTTTTTATTTATTTTTATTTATTTATATAATATCAAGTAGGAAAAATGAAAATACATGAATATATCAATTGGATATAAATATATACTAGGTATTATTTCTAAACTATACTATTATTGCTATATATTAATAACATCTAATGTGATATTATTCTTTTATTTTCTGTTATTAGTTAAATTAACTTCTATTAAGTATTAATTATAAAAAGAAATAAATAGAAAACCTTTAAGGATAATTTAATTAATAAAAACAAGTATATATACTGAATTTTGAGACAAGATTTAGAATAAAGATATATATATTAATCTTGAATATAAAAGTAGTGTTATTGAGGTTTAAAGATTGAGAGATAAGTAAGTAGATGTTGTTTTTCTTTTTAATAGAAGCAGAGATTCCTCATACTGATTTCTATTCATAATGTTTAATGCTACAGATTTGTTAGATAGAAGAGTTAAATCATTTAAGTAGAGAGTTAGATAGAGAGATAAGAAAATTGATAGTTGTTTTTTTTAGAATTAGTTGTAGTTGCATATGTTGGTTAAGAGTTATTGTTTTCTGTATAAATAAAAAAATTGCATTGTATATGTTGAATTAAAGTAGAGGCTTTGTGAATAAAGAATTTGTAATATTGTATTTAGAGAAGTTTTTAGAAGATTTAATGAATTTAGAGTATTGGTAATCTCATTAATGAAAATGTTCTTGGAGTTGTAAAAGTAAAGTGAGCATAGAAGTAAGTGTTTGGTATTTTTATATTAATTGTAATATGAGCAGTTTGGAGTTAGATAAAGAAGAAAATAATGAATATTTAAATTGAACATTGTTGGTAGATTGTTAAGAAGTATTTTGTTTCTAATAGAATATAGTTTAAGAT